CCCTTGCACCTCTAACCCTTTAGGAAAAAAAACCCCAGGGATGTTCAAACTTGACAGCTTTAAGACTTGTGGACTTCAACTCCCAGAATTCCTCCCCTTGCTTTTCATCTTGATGATGTGTGGATGGGCAGGGGGAGGGAGGTGGAACCGGTTCTAAACGTCACTGTAGATTTGTGGAAACTCTTCTATAGAAGAGGTTAGAACTGGCAGGAACCCACCCCTGATTCAGAGAGTCTGGAAGTGTGAGTAAGAGCCATGAAATAATAAAGGGATTAGAAACCAAGTGTCAGAAGAAGAGAGCCTGTATGTTTGGCTCAAAAAAGTATTAACTCTTCCAGGATCTTTAGATAAACAAATGATTCTCACTAAATGACACACAGCACACAACTCTTTCTTTTGTTATTTTTTAGCTTTATTATTTATTAGGCTTATTTTAGGCCACCTTTATTGCTTTATAAGTAACTCAAAGTGGTGAACATGCAGAATATTCTTTCCTCCTTCTGTTTTGTCTACAACTCTGTGAGCTGGGTTAGGCTGAGGGACTGGTCCAAAGAGCTTTCATGTCTAAGGTGGGATTCGAAGTCAACTGTCTCCTGCATACACTTTATATTCTCTCATGGTCACCAAATCAGGGGCGTAACAAAGATGATGATTGCATGTCTCCCCACCAATCCTCCTTTTTATAGTTTTTTTTTTTTACTTTTTGTCTCAGCTGTGGTTTCATTGATTGCTCTCACTGTTGGGCTAGGTAGGTTTTACTCTTTCTTATGTGGTTTTTCAAACAGTGGCCAGTCTAATGCAGTTTTAGAGTCCCTCGCTGGCATAGCTCAATTTAAAAGCATATAAAGATTCCATAAGCTAGGGAAAAAAAGCTAATTTATATGCTCTTGATTTTATCCTTTCAATTTAATGTTTAGGTTGCAAAGGAACAATGAAAACATTGGTCATTGGACTTGGAGGGTAAGTATGAACAGGAATTTGAAATCCTCTTTTCTTATATCCAAGTATCTAAATACAGATGGTCCACATTTAATTACCATTTGCTCATTATGGATTATTTTCATTGTATATGTACAGAATTTATAATTTTTATTTATAATTTGCATGAATAAAGGCTGCCCTATTCAACTTTGGCTATTGTCGGTATACAATACCAATAAAATACATTTAAAAGTTATGACACTTTATGTAATACGTTTGCCGACTTTCTAAAGCTACGTTCTATATTGTACTGTGAAAACATTCAGTGTATATGAAATTATGGTTTCCACTATTGTTGCAATCCTAGGCCTAATATTTTTGCTGTTGCAACCATACAAATACTTTTAAGAACCTTGCTCTCAGGAAAGTAAGGCAAACAATGAATGATCATTGTGCATTTATTCTGTAGAAGATAATTGACAGAGCAAGCCCTTATGCAGCTATAATAAATAACCTTCTGCTACTTAAGTTTTTAAAAAAATCATTACATTTGACTGGATACAAAGCAATTGCAGAGCAAACAAAACTATTAACTGTGTTATCTGCTGTACAGTTTGTTCTTCTCAACACTTTTTTTCCTATTTCCAATTCAGTGTAACGAATGGAGGCAAAACAACTCTGGCAGGAAAGTTGAAGAAACTGCTTCCCAGTTGTACTATAATTTCCCAAGATACATTTTTTAAGGTAACAAGTTTTAAAAAATTTACACATTGAGTTAATATTTTTCTCTGTTGCAGAAATGGATTTAAGTTTGTTGATTCCAATGTCCACAAAGCTTCTCTCTGCCCTACAGTAAGTCTATGCAGTGATGATCGTCAGAAGTTAATATGACTCACCTAGTATGATCAGAGAGTTCTCAATCAAATAGAACAATGCTTCTTAGTTTCAGCAATTTTACATGTAATCCCTGCTTACTGATCCAATTGGGACAATAAATAAATAAATAAATAAATAAATAAATACATACATACATACATACATACATACATACATACATACATACATACA